TCTTGTATTCTTCTATATAAACTTGAATTGGGTCAGAGTGCTTTATTAAAATGTCAACAATCAATTTTATTTGTATGTAAAGTTCATTTAGCCAAAATAATAGCGTTGGGCCATGAATTGAAATGTTGCTACAATTATTTTATTGCAAAATTTTTGTTCAATGGATATGTTTGTTACGCTTTGAAAGCGCCGATGTCTGAGAAAGTAATTTTGTATTTTGTAATTGTATTATTTTCTGAACTTTTGGTGTTTTGACGAACAAAAAATTAAATCTTAATACTAAGCTTAGGGAATAAGAGATTGAAGTAAAAGAACATAAATATGCAGAAAACCATGGGCGTTTAACATTGAGTGCCACGGCCATTTTGGGTATGTTTCCCAGAGGGCCACATTTTTTTTGAGTTTGACTTTCAAAATAGGTTAGCTTTAGACGTTTTTTGATATCTTTTGTGTGATTCAACTGTCAAAAGAGGTTTTTGACGTGTCACCTTTATATGGGTGACGTGGCCTGCCAGTTTGTAAGTCGTTCATTTTTTCAGATTACGAGCAGAAAATGTAGAGAATTTTTATTTTTTTTTCACTTTCAATTATTATTATTTATTTGGTCTCCCATGTTTCAATGCAATAAATTCGTGAACATTTTGATTTGCCTTAGTTTGTGAGTCCTTTTTTTTATTATAAGTAGAAAATTTAGAGATTTTATTTTTTTTCACCTTCAATTATTATTTTTTTTGATGATGTTCATGAAAGATCTTCAAGTTTTGCTATTAGAAGCAGTTTTTGAATAATAATTTTTTTTTTCCCACTTTTCCCTTTCATTTTTTTTGGAAGAAATGGATAAAAAGGAACGATTTACTGATCCAAATACTGGAATTGAGATTTGGGAAACCATTACCTATGGAAACCCTGACAAATTCCAGCAGTAGAATAGTTTAATACCATTGCAACCCACTCTTGATGTAGATGGATAATTTCATCTACTTCTTCATTCATCAATAGCTGAATGGGTTTAGCTTAGCATCAAGATTTTTCACATATTGTGTAACTCTTTATAAACACATCTTCTTCTTTAGTCTGTCAAAGTTCATCTTTGGAAATCTGCAAATTCTCGTCATTCTCTGGGACTAGTTTGAGGTGGTTCATCTATTTCGTCTGGTTTACGTATTATTAGTTCTGAGTTGCATCTGTGATCTGTGGTCTTTGTGTCATAAAAGATCCATTTTGAATGGATGACTTCTGATTTTACGCCTTCCAACCTGATTCAATTGGTTCTCTTTCTCTCAGAGAGTCTAAGACAGTTTGTCCACATTTGTTTTTGTAAACGTCTAAAGGCCGGTTTATCAATCAAGGGATACCGCGCAGAGTTTGCTGACCCAGGGTCAACTCTAACTCTGGGGTAACTACCCAGTTAAGGGCCGGTTTATCAATAGAGGGTTACCCCATGAGTTACGGATAACCTTGGGTCAAAGTTGTGACGAGTGTTTATTCTTCCAGGGTCAACTGCTAACTCGAAAGTTATTCCAGGAAAAAGTTAACCCGCACTCTCGCGGCAAGTTAGCGTATTTGATACGGGGTTAACCTCAACATTTTCTCTTATTTTCTATTTGATTTTTTTTGAAAAGTGCTGGTTTTGGCTTGAATTTTGATATTGTGAAGAGATGGAGGAGCTGGATTTGAGTGATGATGATCAAGATGTTCTAGAATTTCTGGAACATGCATGAGCGGCGCCTCTACAACAGGCACCTAAGGTATCAGTCAAATCCTTTTGAGGATTTTGACGACGTTCACTTCTTCACACGTTTTCGCTTACGGAAAGAAACCATTTTATTTATTCTAGAAAAAATCGAGCACATACTTGAATTCCCAACAAACCTATGTTTGTTGAGAATTCGAGTATAATATTTATTTCTACACAGAACCAAACTTTTCGCTTTCCGCTAGTGGGTATACACATCAAATAAGTAGCATGCGATCTACGACTTGCTGCTAGAAAGCAGGAAGCATACTAATACGTCTGTTTCTGCAGAAATCACAAACCAGTCGGAGCAAATAACCAATGAAATTCACTCTGACTGGTTTGTGATTTCTGCAGAAACAGACTTATTATTTTCGAACCTTGACCTAGAAATATATGCCTGGTTTCAGACCGGAGTGATTGGAACATGTAGATATATTTTAATAGTTTGCGACGTACTTGCAAGACGCACAAACGTTGTTTATTTTTGACTTGTTGCGTAGAGGTGTATCGATAAATATGGTAGCACTGTGTGACTTTGGTATGAATGTAAACATGGAAAACTCAAGTTGCAACGTGCTCCCTGCTTCCTAGCAGCAAGTCGCACGGTCGCAAGCATGATATGATATATGCGTTTTCAAATAGCTTTTCGTTTGAATTTTGCTTTGCAAGTGTCAAATTCAAAAGGATGAATATCCGAATGTGGTAATAGGTATGTGATTTTTCAGATGGTCTTCTTCATTTGAATTTTGCTTTGTAAGTGTTACGTTCAAAAGATTAAATATCCAAGTGTGATAACATGTGCCTCTTCAAATCGCTTTTTCGTTTATATTTTACTTTGCAAGTGTCACATTCAAAAGGATAAATATCCGAGTGTGTCACCATGCGCATCTCCAAAACGCTTTTTATTTTAAATTTTGCTTTGCAAGTGTCACATTGTCACATTCAAAAGGATAAATATACGAGTGTGTTAACATGTGCTTCTTCAAAACGCCTTTTGTTTTAAATTATGCTTCGCAAGTGTCACATTCAAAAGAATGAATATCCGAGTGTGTTAACATGTGCCTTTCCAAAACACCTTTTCGTTTAAATTTCACTTTGCAAGTGTTACATTCAAAAGGATATATATCCGAATCTGTAAACATGTGCATCTTCGAATGGCCTTTGGTATGAATGTAAACATGGAAAACTCAAGTTGCAACGGTCTCCCTGCTTTCTAGCAGCAAGTCGCACGGTATAGCAGCAAGTCGCACGGTAACACGTCGCATGCTACTTTGGTATAAATGCCCTACGGAAACGAAAAATAAAAGAAAAAAATAACACGATTAAGTAAGGTTATGAGCAGAAAATGTGAAAAATTAAATAAAAGTGAGCAGCAAGTCGCATAAGTAGTGCCAACCTTCGAAGAACCCGAAAGTTTATCAGCCCTGGGTTGAAAAAGCTTGGATAAACATCTTTCGACTTAACTAGCTAGTTAGCCCAGAGTTAGAGTTGACTCAGGGTCAGGAAACTCTGCGAGTTATCCCTTGATTGATAAACCGGCTCTAAATAAGGTTATCAGAAGAAAATGTCAAAAAATAAAGTGAAGTGACAACGTTGCATAAGTAATGCCAACCTTCGAAGAACCCGAAAGTTTACCAGCCCTGGGTTGAAAAAGCTTGGATAAACACCTTTCGACTTGACTAGGTAGTTAGCCTAGAGTTAAAGTTGACCCAGCAAACTCTGCTAGTTATCCCTTGATTGATAAACCGGCCCTGAGTCTGACAAACATAAAGGTATCATTATACCAATACAAATTGGTTGGAAAATCTTCCTCTCAAGTAGAGTGAAATCTCTTACTTTTTCAGGATCCCCATCCATGAAAGCTGACAAAAACTTGACCATTCCAGCTTATTTATTCTTAGTATAGCTCTGCTGAGGTAGATGCATTTGCTGACTTCTTCAAAAAAGACATTTCAAATGGTTCTCTTTCTTCCTCTCATGCTTTTGATTTAATTTTTCACTGTTTCTTATAACTCTCTTGCCAACTGACTATAGGCTTCAGATGTGGCTCTTCAAAGCTGTTGGAAATGATTACGATTTTGGTGAATCGTAAACGATTCAGTCTGCTACTGTATGATGTTTGAAATTATGCCAGACAAGTCTAGTTTCTTGAATGCATTCAGCATCACATATCTCTCTGTCCAACTCCTCCGCTGATTGGAATGGAATTGCTACTTCTTTCTAGCTCTACTGTAAATGAGTGGCATTTATGTAGATGTTATGAATAAGCTTTCTGTATATTGTTAATCCATTCGGGAGTTTTTCACGGCTCTTGAATCGATGCTATCTTTTCTCACATAGTTCAAATACGTCGCTCCCAAAACCATAATCTGCTCGGTTACCTTCTTGATTAGGGTCTCATCAGTTTTTTAATCGAAATCTTTGAAATTAGCTTTTTTTTTCTTAGATCTTCACCTGGTAGAACCAAAACTGAAGTGAAGTCTAGTATAAGATCTCCAAGTGAAGTTTTGCAAATCTGTATTTTGTTATGCAAGTCAAGAATCATTTGCAGCTGTACCTAGGTAGCTCATCAAATTATTTCTGTAGTGAAGTAGCCTTTGTAACATCAAGAGCCCAAGTATCATCTTCAAAACGTCTATCCAATAGTTGTTGAATTACATAGAACAGTCATGGAAAGTGATCTTTGAAATACTGAAACAATAAATAATCAAAGTAGGTACTACATTGAATTGGTTTGGCAGTTTGTATCTGATACAAACTCTCTGGAGTCTCTGGAGTTCGAAATATCCAAGAACTGACTTCCAATGATGCATCGATGTAGGTGTAGGTACCTACCTACGAGATTAATTGTTACCGATCAACTCGCAGAGATATGAATCTGAAAATTTGACAGTTGAAATATGCAAAGATGCTAATGTTTATTATTGGAGTTGCTAATAGAACAGAAAAGGTTCAAATGACACTACGCTTTGAACGACTTTCAAAATGATTAAGACTAGACTAGTAGTGCGCTCCATTGCCTCGAATCAAAGTGCTATTTTTCAAAAAAAAAAGATAGTCATCAAGGTTTAAACTAAGTAGAGAGATGGCGTTTAATTGTCAAAGAATAGAGAGCCCAACATATTGCAGATAGTAGAAAAACTAGTAGGTACTCTATGTTTAATAATTCAATGACTGATTTAATCATCCTAAAACAAAATTAAACCATCTTGATAAGTAGTAATTGCACACCCATTATATCCATCCGAGACCTTTTACTTACCTTCTCAAAAATAATTCAGCTAATCCTTAAATACCACACAGAAATTCAATCCACTTCGAAACCCACGTTTCCACGTTTAAGCACAAACAGTTACTCAAAACTAAATTCCAGTCCAAATACACACCTTGAATTCTTCAAGAAATTCACACTTTACGCGAGATCACTCGTGATCTGTGTGGAAGCAGACGCGAAGAACACTAAGGTTACACTGACCTTTAGTACAGTTACAAAATTAAGGGCCAACAACAATTAACATCCTAACTAAATGGTAAATATTTGCGATTAACGGGTTTTAGTTAGGTTCAGTTTGGCTTACGTAGACACAAAATTTAACGAGTCGGCTCTTGGGTAGCGGGTACCATAGGTTCAGGTAACTGCGACCGCGGCAACAGGTAACGTTGGAGAATGCGAACCGGTGGTGGGGAACTTTAAGTCGCTGTTTTACTCGAAGCAGGTATAAGAGATTTTCTATGGGAATTAAGAAAGAAACCTTCACTGACGTCAGAAGAACCATAGAAGAGGAAGTTGAATGTTTTGGGTTTTTTAGGGTGGGCACCTGATTATCAATGGGCAAGAGCGTTTATGACTAAGCTTCGGTCAAGTTAATAAAGGGCAATGGGGCAATGAATGCCTATCACTTAAATCGAAATATTAATCACTTAACAAGTATCGGATATATGAAAATACAAGGTCTGTTCTGTACTTTGATTAGCACGATATGTTTGGTGATAGTCATCTAACCGATATAAAAAAACTTCCTCACTCCCAAAGTGAAGTACTTGATTGACGATTCTTAGAATTAGAATCCGTCTGTTTCATCCTTCAACCCTCATCAATAGTACCAATCTTCTCTGATAAGCCATTTCGTTCTCTTACCAACGCTTAAACGCATTCCTGAGCCCTTTACCTTCGAATGGATAATCACTATAAGTGCATCACAGTCTGAAAATTTCGTGTTGTCTCATTTAGTGAAAATTTATTGACTCTATTCGCTGCGCATATCTGAAATACCTTTTCAACTACGCAACCACCACAATCTAAAATTGCAGTATAGAACGTTTCAAGATATACCGTTCACCTGTTGACCACAAATAAATTTAATTGCTATAAAAAACCTATATAATTTCAAGACTAGGCCACCTAGGGCAAGTTATTGTTTTTTTACTTCCACCAAAGTGTAGGGTTTTATGTTTTTAAGTATTTTAAGAAAATTGTCTTTTTTTTGTATTATAGGTAGACGTAACAAGACAAATAATATTAAAGTATTATACAATCGTGTATTTTCTTAGATTATACCAAAAATCAAAGTTATATATTGAAACTGACTATACCTATTTTATAGGTACCATAATGATACTTTCCAGCCATCCGCAGAATCTTCAGCCATCCCAAAAGAAAAATAATTTCTTGCATATTGCATACAGCCAGCTATCTTTTTTTATATTGAATGATAGTTGGGGATAATGTTTTTTTTTTCTTCAACTTTTAACAGGCGAGGATAAAATCTTTAATAGTCTTATTTACGAAAGAGTTTTTGCATAGGAAAAATGATAGGAATCTAAAGAAATGCTCACATAATGATTGGTTAGTCAAGATAAATATGTGAATGTTGCAATCAACCTGTAAGAAATGTTGTTTATGTTATGTTGCGCATAATTTGAGAATTAAATAGTGATGGATGTGACTGTTTTCTTATTGATAGAATACGACCTTAGAGGTAGACTGGTAGACAGAAAATAATTATGATACGGTGTAAAGTTACAAATAATTACTTATTAGTAAATTCTAGTTATTAATTTGTTTAAAAAAAAAACTGCTTCTTTTTGTCAGTTAATTAATTTTTTTTCATTTGTACTTTAATTCTCGTAATTACTTTGATCTGAAAAGAAAATGTTTTTCTAATGGATTGCAAACTGGGTTAATTGATTCCGTATTTTGCATTTTGGCTTTACACCCCTTTTGTAACTGCTTCTATCTAAAATTTAACAAAACAATTTAGCATTTCTGTACGTGAGAACAATACAAACCCTAAACTATATAGCTTTGTTCTTGGATTAGGGCCACCCTAACATTTCAGGACCTTTAGCCTCCATCCTGCACCCTCATTCTCTGAAAACATCGACCTCAATTTGCTTACGAGACAAAGTGAGATACATGATAGCTATAGGCGTTATAGGGTATAGGGATAAAATTCTTCAAAAACTGAATAACAAAATTGGCCGTCTGTGTGCACCTAATGTGGAGGAAGATTTCCGAAATGCACTGAAGAAAACGACTCTATTCTGAGAGCCCATAAAAAATAATCAGTTTTCGTGTTCCTGTACTGTACAAACCGGCAACTGATTCTCGACAGAATGACATCATTCAATTTTTCGTATTCTTTTATCCCTATGTATATAAATATAGGCATCGAGCAGTAAAGGTAACTGTAATTTATACTTTGGTACTACCAAAGCTTCAGGTGAAAACTTGAAGATGTCGCAACTGCCTGCGTTGTGTATTCAAGTCGGTATCTACTGACATCTGTAAATTAACAGAATTACTAAAATCAATGGGAACTAGTACCTGTAGATAAGTATAGGTGTCCACCGGTATAGGTAGCTGTAATTTATACTTTGGTACTACCAAAGCGTCAGGTGAAACCTTGAAGATGTCACAACTGCCTGCGTAGTGTATTCAAGTCGGTACCTACTGACATCTGTATATTAACAGAATTACGAAAATCAATTGGGACTTATCCAACTTTCTTAAGCGATGGACGAATGGCCTTATAAACAAAATGTAAGAAAGCTTTATACAAAGTTATTAATGGTATTTTTTAGATTAACTCACGACGGTTTTCACCGGAGTTCATATTTTTTGTTATAGACTAGAGTTTTTAGTACTCAGAAGTAGAAAAAGTCAAAGTTAATTTACAAAAAAAGTTGTGGCGCCTTTGTAAGACGCGGATTTTTATTAAACTAAAGAAATTTTAAGTATTAAGGTAATTAACCAACCTACTTGGGTTTTATTATTTGTAGAAAAATATTTCTACCTACTGATGGATCCATAGATCGATAATATATGCCTCATCAGTTTCTTTGTTCCAGCAGCACTTATTCTATCGATATTTCTGTTTGCTTTCCTTCGTTGCTAATTTCTGTTCTGTTTCTAAAAGTTGTTCGTTTGTTCTATCAGTGATGTGATTCATGTCAGCTACTTCTGATTCTTATTTCATATATTTTTCAAGTGAGCTTTGAAATTGATGATAGTGAAGCTTTGCTCTTTTTTACTTTTAAACTTGACAACGGGATGTATGTATGCGTGTGTTGGAGGTGTACCGTCGGTTGCACTACGACCTAGGTTGATCTATTAATTGAACCCCTCCTTCTGCTGCTAAGTTCAGGTTTCCTGCTCAAAGCAGCTTTTCTAGTTCTAAGTCCTTTAGGAATCTTAGGATATCTAGTGCTTCCAGAGATGGGATGTCTTCTAGCTGTATGAGAGGGGCTTCCCAGATTCCTCATCCTTAGACGAGCATCGCAGTTCAGTAGAAGATGGCGAGGTGTCTCTTCTCCATCTTCACAAAATCTACAAGTACCGCTTTCTTCCAACCCCATAGGTGTTCCTTAAGTCTGCAGTGTCTCAAGAATAAACCCAGTTAGAGTTTTGAGACTTTTCTTGCTGAGGTTGACAAGCAGTTCTGATCTTTTTTGGTTAAATTTGCTCAATGGATCCTTGGCCTGTCGTAGTCCTGGCTGTTCTAGCCATTTGTTTATTCCTTGTCTGGTTCCCTTTCTTTTTGAGAATTCCTTGGAGGTGCGCATTACCGTAGTCTGGCCCAGTGAAGAAAGTAGAGGCTCCCGATCTCGCGAGTGTGTCTGCGCATTCGTTATCCTCAACCCTTATGTGCTCAGGCACTTTGTTTTCTTTTCCTAACTTATTGAGTTTCTGTAGACATTCTCATACCCTCTCAGATTTGATGATTGGGGAGTTCTGCCTGCCTGGCTGTCAGACATTATTTGAATTTCTCATTTCCAATTCCCAATACTCCTGCTCCAGTTCCCTCAGCAGTCTTGGAACCGTCTGTATACCATTCAATGGTGTTCTCTTTCAGGGACTGAACAGATTCTATGTTCCATTTGTTTTTTGTTCTGACCTCGATGGAGAAGTTTTTCTCGAAGCTGAATTTCTCAAGCATCAAGTATTTAGATAGATCCATAAGCTGTGCACAGTTTGGAAGAGAAAAAGTTCTACCAGAGTGCGTTTTCCCTTGGATCTTCGCCAGTCTAAAGGTACGTGCACAACGGAGCTGTGATACTACTTTTATCTTGGATGATAGATTGAAGCCATCATCGATGATTTGAATTATATCATTGGTTTTAATTTTAGCGTGCACATCGGACAGTTGAGTATAGCTAGGATGATCGTTTATAGCATACTAGAATGAATTTTACCGTTCTTTCTGCGAGCAGAAACCAGCTGACAAGGGTGGTGCGTGCCCAGTCATCATATTGTCCTTAATTTTACGTAAAAGGTATTGGCACAGAATAACAAACGTTGGTTGTTGTTCTGTGGTATTGGAAACTAGATGGTTCCATTCTCAAATATTGATGAAAACAATCATCATTCATCAGCATCTGGTTTTCCCATTAAATCCTGATACGTGGTGATAATCTCCTAATTCTAACCGTTTTTGATTAATTGGGTGAGTATGGGTATTCTCTTGGGGGTAAATCCCGCAGAACACACCATTTTATAGCGGAGGAACATAAATAATCGTCATCTCTGTCCGACATCGCGATCATAAAATGCGAGATAAAATTGTTTAATGGCTAGAAATCCAGGTGAGTATCACAGCTCCGTTGTGCACACCTATGAGCGCTTATAATTTCAGCTATGATCTGTCATCCAGGCTACAAGTTTGTATCACAGCTTCGTTGTGTACGTACCCTAAGATATGATCCACTAGCCCTCTTAACTAATATGTGGAGTGGTGTGAGGTCTAGGATGACTTCTAGTGATCTTGAACTGGATTTATTTCAACTGTCAGAACTCTTTGTGAATCAGTCAATGCCTGAGACATCTTCATCGACGTACCTATCAACTTTCACATGAAAGTGTTTGTGTTATATGAAGAAAGTGTAGCAAATGCTTTTACTCTACCTCTGTCTCTGTTTGCTGCATCAAAGCTGAATATGTTTATCTCAAAAAACTTAAGTAAAAGCATTTGCTTCTGTTTTATTCATATGAACCATTAGGCCATATTTATAAAAATGAAGCATTTACTTTCCAGTAAAAGCTAGAGCTCAAGCTATTATAAATTTTGGACTACTGGTAGATTTCACTCTGCATCGATACTTCAGAACAGGAAATCGCCCTTTAAGATGCCCAA